GAGGTGGTTAAACACTGCATCCTGTCTAAAACTCACTCCCATTTTCATGAGGCTAAGCTGAAATTCCGTCCTAACAGTGCCCCATTTCCAGTCTCTCAAAAGCCACACAGTCTCATTCAGCCAGGAATCTGAAGAAATCCTGTACAATTTCACCTTCACAGAGATTCTTAACGGAAGTTACAGGGTGCGTTTCAGAGGGCCTATGAAGCCCTTTAAATTGAAGAGGATGCACATCATTCTGAGTGTGTGCTCCCCCCCCCCTATAATGTCACAGCTTTCCTTAGAATCACAAAGGAATCTAGGGTCCCAAAGGATCAAGAGCACAAGGCTTAGATTTTCCTCAGCTTCAGATCCTTTATTTCACAGATGTCTTTTAAAACACCCTTACAGCCCAACTGGTAACCCTACTCCACTGGTGGCGTTCCTTTGAGTAAAGGAGCTTTATAGTAAGCATCCTAGTGGCATGAAGGGCTACACATTGAGCTGCTAGCCCAAAGGTCAGTGGTTCAAACTCACCCATCAGTCACTCAGCAGGAGAAAGAGGAGACTCTCTGCTCGATCAAGATTTTAAGTCTCAGAAACCCAATGTGGGCAATTCTAGTTTGTCCAACAGGGTCGCTCTGAGTTGGGGTTAACTTGATGGAAGGGAAAGGATCCCAGGTGGTGCTAACAGTTCAAGCCCAGCGGTGGATCTGTGGGAGAAAGATGAAGGTATCTGCCCTATAAAGGTTTACTGCTTTGGAAACCCTATATGGACTCACTGTGAGTCAGAATTGGTTCTATGATAGTGGGTTTTGGAACCAGACTAACCTAGGGACATGCTTAATTACTGATACGTGGCTCCTTCACTATTCCTCCTGCCTCCTCTCTCCCTATCCAAAAATCTCTCTAGTCTTGGGCATCCTCCTCCTCTTTCCTTTTATTTATGTATATTTGGCAACCTTACACTTAACCATCATCACAATATGACCCAGTGCCATCAGTAAAGCAATTCCTACTCATAATGAACCTAAGTAGGGTTTCCAGGATTGCAAATTTTTATGGGAACAAATAGCTTCATCTTTCTCCCAAAGGGTGGTTGGTAGTTTCGAACTGCTAACCTTATGACTAGCAATCCAATGCCTAGCCCACAGTTCCATCAGGACTCCTTGTAATAACCAGGAGTCAGACAATGACATTCCCCAAACTGTCTCACGTGCTTTCATCTAAGCATTTGGTTTTGGATGCTTCGGTCCGTAAGGAGAGCACAGAGCTCCATGCTGAGAAGAAAGGAGAGGGAGAGGGGCATCCACATGAATGAAACCCATTTCCCATCTTCATAAAGACAAACCATTTGAGAAAATGCACTCAATACTGTGAGATTCTGAAGGATGTGATTATTTCCAACTAGAGAGCAGAGTGGGAAACAGCATTCTAGCTGGGCTGTATTTCTGGACTCGAACCAAAACTAACAACCAAACAAACTCATGGTCATCTAGTTGGTCCTGACTCATAGTCACCCTAGAGGACAGGGTAGAACTCTCTTGGGTTTCCCAGATGGTTACGGCAACTCCTTACAAGTAGAAAACCTCATCTTTCTCCTGCAGAGGGGCTGATGGTTTCAAACTTCTGACTTTGTGGTGAGTAACCCAATACATAACCATGAGATCACCAGGGCTCCTTCCAGTCTCTAAGGCTGTGGTAGACTGTTTATGCTTCATTTCCACATCTTCAAAATAGGCTGTTGGGCCTGGAGGTTGATGCCTGATCAGAAATAGTGAGAAAATAGGTCTAAAAGACAAATTAGCCTTTGTCAGAAAATATCTGAGAAAGAAATAGTGGAAGCAACTGGTACAGGGAAAATTGTGGATGCAAATAAAAGTGTCGGTCATATTGTTGTTTACATCAAATAAATGTACGAACTTTTCAAAACTGAAATTCTGGCCTGTGGGAGCCTGCCGACAAGTCCAGCAGTCCTGAAAGGGGGAGTGAGGATTAAGGAAAAAAAGAGAGACAGAAAGTATTGGGAGGGCACCAGTGACTACTGAAGCTCCGAGTTTATTCGACATCTTCCTTTTATACATGCAGAAACAACCCGGGGTTAGAATTAGCATATTATGACAATATATCAGAAACTCTATTCTTCTTTCTTTTTATTTATTTTTT